GTACAGCAGATTCTGCAGGACATACTAGCAAAGTAATACTTAACTCCAGTAAAGCTAACCGAATAATTGGATAGCGAGATTCTGCAGGACATACTGCAAAGTAATACTTAACTCCAGTAAAGCTACCGAATAATTGGATAGCGAGATTCTGCAGGACATACTGCAAAGTAATACTTAACTCCAGTAAAGCTAACCGAATAATTGGATAGGACACAAAGTGTAATACACAATGAAACAATCTTGAAAACAATATAGATTATTAGCACGTGCTCTTCACCATGTGGACGACAGACAATATTGGAGTTGTAAATTAATCAAGCTGTCTACACTCCTTCGAGACTTAGATCCAAGCTGACCACTTACTCAAGATGATGCTTGAGACTAAAATAAATCTCACGTTACTTGGTTGAACTGGAAGCACATAGCAACACACATTTCACTGGTTATTCCCATTCAAATATAAGGGAAGTTGTAATCTTGAGATATCACATAACTTACCATTGGAAGACTGTCGACCATCATTTAAAAAAGTGCAGGTTTACAATTATATTCCCCTATGCGCAGACCAAATATTTTCTCTAAGGGGCAACAAAGAACAAATGGTAGTTAGAACGAAATCAACCTAACGACATTCTTGACTACGCGTTATGCGAACACTGCGCATACCGGAATAAACGAATTGTTTGAAAAATTATACTTTAAAATAAAAATGTATAAAAAGCATGGTATGCCTGTATACCACACAAGTCAATTGGCCGCCATAACTTGTCAATCTAGCTCTCACGAACGTTAAGGCCGTGAGATATTTAGTAATGCAAAGTGCTTTCGAACGGTCGGTAACGTTAGGGTACTGGAACGTGGTCCTGTTTTGAAGTATTCTCCCTTAGGGTAAAACTTTAAATAAATCATGCTATATGTGTTATAAACCAATGAAAAAGAAGCAAATATAACATAATATAATAGATATATTTCTAATAAATATTGTAATGTTTGCGCTATATTACTATAAATTATTTGCATAATATTTTCAGCTTACTCCTTAGATGTTTCTTCATAATTTGTTTTTTTACAAAATTATAAACATTTATTATCCTACTGTATTCATTAAAAGTTAAAATAATGTGCAAGTTCCATTCGTATACAGTTGCGCAGCAATTAAAAAAAGGCATTATTCATAATGACAACACTTTGAACTCTGTTAAAGTGCTTCTTTTTGTTTAAAATATGTCATCTGGTTCTGGATAGTGTAATTAGCGATCCTACGACTGCATCCGGCTCGAGAAGTTCCGACTAAAGTCACCACGATATCAAAATTATAGTTGTTTGACTTTTTGTTTACTACAGTTACTGAAATTTTGATATACAAAATACAAATATAAATTATTTTTAACATTACAAATGTAGAGTATAATCTTATTCGAATATATGTAATTTTTATTTTTTTTATAAACTGTCTTACGTGTTTCAAATAGGGCCAAACTGGCTAGAAATGATTTACTATAAATCAAAGCTAATAGATAATTATCACTTTAATAAACACTTAAATTATACATCCAATTAGAAACTTATTAGTCTACCGTATATTTCCAGATGTACAAAGAGATGATGTGCACAATTAAAGAACAGGTATCTTAACTTAACTCTGAATTGTAATAATTGCATTTTTTCAGCCTCGGCTTCCAATTTACAATCCTTTTTAAGTTTTTAACCACCTTCGCTTATTTTATATTATGGACTATCGCTTGGTTTTTCAAAGCAGCTGCCTACGCAATGCAGGTCTTTTCATCTCGTTGGATAATAATAAAAAAACCCAAAAAATGGCGATTGAAACCAAGTTTAAACCACGCACCAATTAAAGTCGCACCAGATGCTAGATTAAAGTGGGCGCTATAGGTGGTGGTGTAGACTAAAACATTGTATCGTGATTGTCAATGTTTTGTTTTTAATCATATTCTACGGTACTTTCATATGTATACAATAATTAGTATCTTAATGATATTAGTATCTTAATGATACAGTATCTTTCGTACCGCAGTACACGATAATCACAGCAACACTAAAAAATACATAAAATAAATAAATAAGTAATGAAGCTAAAAATATATATTATTTTCTGTGCCTTTGACATACTCTGGCGTTTAATTAATACAAATAAGCTTAAATAGAGCCATATTTCTCTCATCGATAATTAGTGTTTGGCCCCTGAGACCGCATTGAAAATATCATGTGAACCACCAATAACACAAAGAAATTCCTGAACTTTAATATGAATGAGAAAATTGTGTTTAGCATGTAACGGTGCTTGTCTCTGATGTCATGAATCAGGCAATTAACGTTCGGCACGTGATTGTATGTGTGGTGTTTTGACGTCATAATTTTATCTAGTGAACACCCGCAACATGACTGTGCTGTTTGTGTTATTATTGTGATTAGGATATATACTTTTAATAACATTATTTGAAAAATGACATCACTTCATTTCATAGATTAGATTTTATCTAATCCACATCAAGTGAAAATAATTCTACGAATTAAAACTACAACTGTCTAATTTAATTTTACGCACTTAATGATTTCCATGTTTTCAGAACTTTGTTATAAGTGAGGAGATGTAGAATACAATATCTGCATGTGACAGCAGTTAATGTAGTTTGTCTTTTCAGTGTCTACTTTAACAATTCCTTTTAGTTTTGTTTGTTTGTTTGTTTTTGAATTTCGCGCAAAGCTACACGAGGGCTATCTGCGCTAGCCGTCCCTAATTTAGCAGCGTAAGACTAGAGGGAAG